GTGCTGCAGAAGTTCAAAGACTGTAGTCTACAATATAGATTGAAACTCCATATCAAGAAGTCAAAGATTCTTCTCCTTGGACCCACTGGAAGCACAATGACAGATGGAGAAGAGATTGAGGGTGTTAATAATTACAGCTTGCTTGGCTGCACAATCTACACTCTTAACATCAGCAGTCAGAAAATCAAAAGACAAATTGCCCTGGGAAAATCTGCTGTCAGGAACCTCTCCAGAGTGATAAAAAGCAATGATGTCTGACTAGAGACTAAGGTGTACCTAATGCAGGCCATGGTCTTCATAATTACTTGCTAAGCCATTTAGATTAAAAAAAAAAATTTAAAAAGCAATATACTATCTACAACAGACACACATGAAAAGCAAAGATAAATAAAAAAAAAAAAAAAAAAAAAAATAAATAACACACATCAGCTCATTTTAGGTATCATACATACTCACTTTGGAGACAAGTGTTTTAAAAAATAGCCCATTGCCTTGAGAGCTTGTACTCGGATTCCTTCACTTTTAGATGCCAGAAGTTTATAGATAACCCTGAATAAGTAAAATTATAAGAAAGAAAATATATTTCAAAAGCATAGATTTAAGTTACAATATAAATTATTCTTTCATGTTATTGTAAACTTAAGCTAAATATGATTAAAACACTTAAGATTAAAACACACTGCTGTCAAGCTGACTCTGACTCATGGGAACCTTCGTTTTGCTTTTCCAAGTACTAAAACTTTCCAGGATGCATATGCCCAACTTTCTCCCAAAGAGCACCTGGTGCTCCCACAAAACATCAGCTACAGGTTTACCAATCAGTAGCTTTTAAGTTAGTAACATGTACCACACTATACTACCAAGGCTCCTGTATTTAAGACACCCTGAAAAACAAAAACCATCTAATCTCACCCTACCAACTGTATTGTTGTGTAACATTAAGAGTCAAACAACCCATACCTGACCTTGCAATGTATTTTTAAAGGCAGTAAATTGCATAAAAGCCTGCTCAGCTTTCTCAAATCCCCAGTAGACTGAAATTTCATACCATTGAGTTGACAGTGCAATTTCTTGCCAGAGAGCAACTAAGAGCTCCATGATTACCAATAGTTTTTTAATGAAGATCAATAAATGAAAATAAATCATAAGTGTGACTGATTTTTAAAATTTTAACAAGAATATGAACATTAAATATTCTATTAATTCAGTAACTTATCAAGACAGGACTAAGGATACGAAATTTAGAAAAAACAGTAGCCTCGCCATGCACCAACCTATTTTTTATTAAATTCTTTAAAGTTATAATGCTATCTTTAAAGGATAGACAGACAGATAGATGATAGACTGATTGATTTTACTCTGCTACATGTTTACCATTGTCCTTTAGAGATTATTAACACTGTAAAAGAAAGTAAGTCCAAAAAAAATTTGTTAAGTGGGGAGAAAGACAAAAGCAACTAAAAGAGAAAAATCAGAAATAATTATACAGCAATCCAGAATATGAGGACCAACGTTTCAGATG